ACTTTGGTTGGAATGGTCAAACACATAACTTCATGTGATGTTGTGCCCAAACCTTATTTTAATCCAGATTTTATGGGTAATGTTGCTAATAGAAAGATAAAAAATCTGTTTCTTCTCCTTATTGGCTTGTTTGTGCCTTCCCAACCTCATGTGTTTTCTCTGGGTCCTTCTGTTACTGCTAAAAAAACCTAGAGAATAATAGAATTATTGAAATAAAAATTGTACCATATATTAGTTCCGACATTAACTAGTTTGTGTCAAGTGGCCATTAAACCCGGCCAATTTCTGACAACAATTTTTTAAACACGGAAAGTTTGTGGGAAATGTTTAAATACATAATATTTAAATAATGATTGAAATATAAACTAATAGATTCTGAGTAACTTGTAAATGATTATTCAAATATAAACGAAAAACTTATTTTGTGAATGATTATTTAAATATAAATATAGCGCAGGAGTAACTTATAAATGATGATTTATATATAAATGATTATTTATTATTTAAATATAAATGATTATTTAAATATAGATACCTATTAGCACATGAGTAACTTGTAAATGATTATTTAAATATAAATGATTATTTAAATATAAATGATTATTTAAATATAAATGATTATTTAAATATAAATCATTATTTAAATATAAATGATTATTTAAATATAAATCATTATTTAAATATAAATGATTATTTGAATATAAATGATTATTTAAATATAAACTAATAGCACATAGGAGGCATGTACATGATTATTTAAACATAAACTAATGAGAGATGATTAACCTAGTTTAGCCCTTGCTTCCTTTATTAACCTGTATTTATCTTTTCATCCGCTATCGTCCAATAATCTATAGGGTCTGACACACTCCTCTTTCTAATCCCCACCGCCTGGGTGTCTGTCATGTTTCTGATGGAGTGTGTTTTAACGTACGCACGATGATAATAACGTGCAATTTATGATGTAATAAAACTATTTTTATCTTATCTGTGCCGCCACGGTCTACATGCATGAATTACATAATTTATTACGCATGCACATGCCCACGTACATGTGGGAATTGAGAAACAGGAAATTATACACATACAAGTAATATCAAACAATATCCACAAAATCAAAATGGTTTTGATAACTGAAAGTTTTTCTGTAAAAAATGTAACAAATAGAAAGGCCATTTAATAAATGTCATCCAATGACAGAAATTCTGTTTTTTCAATTACAACTCCCATGAAAAATTCCATCAAAAACAGACTTATATTTATAAAGAGGATATTTCATGTCAAGATACCTCTGCACTATGACATCCGCAGACTCATAAATGACAAATAAAACTCATTCAGCGCCCAAAGTTTGAAAACTTTTCGACAATATTTTAGATTCGTTAATCAGGTTTGCTGATAAGGTGTTGGAAACGGGAGAAAATTTTGATGATAATAGAATCTTTATGGATTTCAAACATGTGGGGTATGTCTAGAAAGAGCCCAAATAAACTCATAAAGACAAACAATATGAGGCAGTCTAAAATTAGACGATCATGCTGACTGACTGGGTTGCAGCAAAGGGCACCCAATATTAAAGGGGCCTAAAATTAGTTATACAAAAATTGTACCTTACATAAATGTTATATGCTACGGTAGAGTTTAACAAGGGGAGCGGGGGGAGGGGGAATAACAATTTTGCAACAATGATTATGCAACCAGGGATCATACTTCAGAATATGCCCCCTTTTCACTGTTGATACAGGTAGAGTAGTGGTTTTACATAGGCTTAGCCTGTTCCCCAATCCCTTTTCACTGTTTATACAGGTAGAGGGGTTCCCCAATCCCATTCAGTCATCCTGAATAAAAATATTGTTTAAAAATTTTTTTAAAAAATATAAAGGCCCCAATGATATTTTTGCATAATACGGTCCTAAATGTGATGTAAATTCGGTTCTCAAATTGACTGCGTATTTATAATTCCTCCTTGAGAGACAGACAATTGTCAGTTTCAGAAAAAAAACCAAGAAATGATAAAGCCAGAGTATTGTGTTTGTGCGTTGTTTATTGTTACAGAGGTATAACACACAGGTAAGGCCACACCAATATGATTACCTGTTCTTCAGGTCAGGGTCTTAATAAATAACTAGCCACTTAAATCACATGATTTGGAATTTTAAATTAGTCTTTTTTCCCGAAGAAAGAAGCAGTAAAATTCTGACTGGGTTGCAGCAAGGGGCACCAATATTAAAGGGGCCCCCAAATTAGTAATACAAAATTTGTACCATAGATAAATGTTATATGCTATGGTAGAGTTTAACAAGGCGGACATAACAATTTTGCAGCTATGGTTATGCAAAATATCCCCCCCCCCCTTTTCACTGTTGATACAAGAAGAGGGGTTGGAACAATAAGCTTTTGAATACTGCAACCAAATTGTTTTGGGTTTTAAATTTGTCTTTTTACCGAAGAAAGAAGAAGGAAAATTTTAACAGGTGTTCCTGAAGAACAGAAAATCAAATTGGTATGGCCTAAACGTATATGATGTGTTTGTTTACATACCTGATAATATTATACACCTGAAACTTGAGAACAAAGGTGATATGAGTTATCCCCCTTTGATCTATGAGCCTATTATTGGAAATATATCAATTGATATCTAAACATGCTAGAAATTAATGCCTTTGAAGTTTTTATATTTAGATCGTTAGATCATAATAAATACCTTGATCAAAAGTCAGTGTCATAAATGTCTGGAAGATCGAGCAAAATATTTACGATATTTTGTGGTGTTTAGGGTGTGGATTAAGAGTCGGGGTAGCAAAAGATATGTGCAAAATGTCTCCCCCACCCTTGACTTTTTTGGTGTTTGTATTCTAGTAGGTATTCAAGTCTAGGCATATGGATGGTAGGATGCATGTACGTGACAAGGAGTAGGGTTGCCTGCCCAATCTCTTAGGCTTTCTCGTGGTCTTCCGGTTTTCTCCCACTGCTAAAGACCCCTACGTGCAAGCGAATTATTGAATTAAAATTGAACCAAATGTTGGTCTCAAAATGACCTTGAAGTGAACAAAATCCATCTAAAATTGATCACCTGATAAAAAGTTTGAATTGAAATTAAGCCTTGCTTCAAACTATTGGAGATAACTTGGAGATTTGCACTTAAAAACAGGTGATGGTATAAAAGAGATTTTACAACCATAATCCGATCACAAACTTTAATTTATATCATAAAAAGATTTGAGTGAATCACGATATTGTTGCATTAGTCATCAAACACCTTGGATATCACGATGACATTCTTGTACACCTTAAAGTAGCCAAGTCTTTAACTCAATATCATCCAAAACCTTCGACAAGGAAAACACAAATTTTTTGTCAATTTTAATTAACATTGGTGTTGTGATCTTACCAGAAAAAGATGGGCTTCTGATATCCAATATTGAAGACAAAATAAACATTTTACGATTGGTACATGAATCGTGTACCATAATGTGTTTCAGCGCAATTTGTAACAAGCGACTCGAAGAACGAGGCTAGACATATTCCACAAGTCATGTCAAACGGTGACCCCATATTCTTATCTGGAGAGCATGCGCAATAAATACTATCGGTGTAGACTTGAATAACCCGATGCTAGAGATTGCCATTGGATTGAGACTTCTGGTGTATTTCGCCAAACATAACTCCTTTGAAATTAGAGTAAAAACGGAAACGATTGAATGTAAATCAGTTTATTTACATTCTTTTTCCATTATTATATATGTTGCGACCCATTTGTGTCAATTTGTAGGTCCCAAATATTAGCGATTTAGCTCCTTTAACTATCTGTTGGACGTTCTTTTGGTGGTTTATTTTATGTGGAAGAATTTTTCGTCATAAATCGCCACAATATTTGTCAATCCCCCTTGTCCCTTAAGGTATTACGCGTTATTTGATCCTGATTAATAATCTTCTTACAGAAATCTTTGACAGCGTGTTTTGTGGGGATTTTTTTTGACCACACGACAATCTAGGAGCCTGGAGATTCTGGGAGATGATAACATGTTTTATGTCCAGTACCTTGCTTAAAAATGAGCTTCTTAGGCCAAGCCAAATGAATATTTAGTTCTTTTTGAGTCTCGATAAAGAAATAGCCACTTATTGGGTCTTGTGTTCGGGAGGTAATAAGAGGCCGAATGATTAAATGAAATGAAATGAAATGGGGTTTAACATCCTACTGTTCTGCTCCTAACCTGGGCTAATGAAGACGGGCATACGCCATACAGTGTGCTGTGAGGGAAATTTTGCCCGGACAGCGGCACTACGGCCTACTCTTATATCAAATTCCAACTGCCAAGGGATCTTTTACGTGCATGCCAATTTGTACATAGGACCTTGGTTTTTCGTCCCATCCGAACGACTAGACAGCTTTCCTTGTCAGCCCCTCCGTCCTGCATCACTGACAAGGGAGAACCACGCCGGAAAATCTGGATGAACTTTCTCGGCCAATGCAGGGATCGAACACCTGACCTCCAGGCTAGCGAGCTAGCGTCTTACCCACTTAGCCACGTGATCCCCCCGAATGATTAAAGTGTGTGCGTTGTAGGTTTGTCATTGTGTCAGGTGACTTGGTTTCGATTCCCAGCTTGTATGTGATGAGGAATAGGGTCGCCTGTCGAGCCTTGCGGGTTTTCTCCGGTTTCTTCCCATGGAAAGACCCCTATGCACAATAGAATTATTAAAATATAATTGTACGGTATGTTAGTCTCGAAATGGCTAAAACAATTTGTCAGCAGATATTAAAATAGTGTGGCCTTAATTTGTGTAAGCGGATATTAAACCCCTGCGTTTACGACAATAGTGAGGAATATAATTTACAGAGAGTTTTAACTCATAAAAATAAAAAAGCGGACTTATTTCCCTTAAGATTTCCGTGTGGTGCAAAAGATGTCATAAACTGGGATTATAGAAAATGGATAATAGATGGCTATATTGTAAATTTATTGTTTCTATAATCGCCTTATTTTTATTTTTTTCAGGGATTGAAGAGACTGCAATTGTGGAATTACGAAGACCGAAACGAGAAGAGATAAAAGTCGCATCTGATATTATTTTAAAATGTCAAATTACAGGCAATCCAGAACCAGCCATTTTATGGTATAACAATAAATTTAGGTGAGTCCTTATTAACTTTTATCTCAAAACCACAGACACAAACAAACTCTTTTAAACAAAGCAGAAATTACCCACTTGCACTTACTTAACCATAAGGCCGGATCAGAGTAGACAGTGAAATAATATCAACACAAAATCAATAGAAAAGTTATATTTCACCCCATGCTTTAAACACAATATATTATATATACTACACAACTGGAATTGTCAGCCTTACTTCTCTATCACCCCTTTCACCCCTTTCACCCCACTACACCAATGGGACCGCTTGCCTTAATCCCCCCTCACTCTTTCACCCTAGTACACCACTGAGACTGCCCTCCCTTATCCCCTTGATGCTTTCACCCTGCTACACCACTGAGACTGCTGGCCCTTATCCTCCTCACTCTTTCACCCTGCTACACCACTGAGACTGCCCTCCCTTATCCCCTTGATGCTTTCACCCTGCTACACCACTGAGACTGCTGGCCCTTATCCTCCTCACTCTTTCACCCTGCTATATCACTGAGACTGCTGGCCTTTATCCCCCTCACTCTTTCACCATGCTATACCACTAAGACTGCTGGCCCTTATCCTCCTCACTCTTTCACCCTGCTATATCACTGAGACTGCTGGCCTTTATCCCCCTCACTCTTTCACCATGCTATACCACTAAGACTGCTGGCCCTTATCCTCCTCACTCTTTCACCATGCTACACCACTGAGACTGCTGACCCTCATCCTCCTGATGCTTTCACCCTGCTACACCACTAGGACTGCTAGCCCCACTCTCCTTCACCTCCTCAACCTGCTACACTACACAACTGAGATTCTCAGCCTCACACCCCCCCCCCCTCACCTCCACAACCTGCTACACAATTTAGACTCCACGCCTTAGTCTCCCTCATCCTCACCCTGCTACACCACTGGGACCGTAGGCCTTAGCCCCCATCCACCTAACCCCCTAATCTCCACCCTGTTACCTCAAAGGGATCAAAATGCCTTACCCCCCCACCCACCCACCTATCCCCTTAAGCTCCACCCGGCTACATCGCTGGGAACTTAGGTCTTACCCTCACCTAACCCCCCCCCCCCCCAGGGCTGAAACTAGGGACAAATTTTAGGGAGAAGTGACTTCTCCAGACAGACAGAATAGGGAGAAGTGAGGGAGACATAGGGAGACTTGAAGGAGAGGTCAAATTTCATGCATTGCTGCATTCTCTGTTCAGTAAGCTTAGGGAGACATTAGTAAATTCAAAGAGAAGTCAGAATGTTAAAAAATAATTTAATACAATCACAAATTAATTATGAAGTAAATATTTTCCTTTCCTTCATTGACTTCAATTTAATTAATGCAGGTCCACCCTGCTACATCACTGGGAACGTAGGCCTTACCCCACCTAACCACTATGATACCTAGTCTGTATCATTTTGAAAATATTGATAGTATTTTGAACTGGATTGAAATCTGAGTAAAACTGGAGTCAACTGGAAATAAATTTAAATAAATAACAATTTCAAATGGAGATTAACGACACTGGTGTATGTTTAGCCATGACACCTTAATGACGCTATAACAACACTGTTGCTAGGTATCAGCCAATCACTGATTAAAAGATCAAAAGGTCGTCCAGCCTTAAGAAGTGGAATTAAATTTGGACTAATTTACGACCTGAGATTATTGTAAAGAAGAAAGGAAAGAGGACGAGGTTATCAAAGATCGTGTCAAGAAACAGAATTGCACAAAGCCGAGAGTTAAAGATTTATAGTCGAAGCTCCCTTTAAAATGTTAATCCCCGTTGACTATATAGTAGAAGGATCGTTATAAGATGACGTGAGGTACAGAAGTTATGGTTATTTGAAGATTATAACCAGGTGCGGATTTATTACCTGTTAACGTTTGTTCGTCTGACGACAAAAACATGGATAAGATTTCCTCGTTATCTTGTATCAACTCAAAATGTCCTCATTTAACCCTCTTCATCGATGTTGTCCTATGACATTACATTCCAATTTAATTTTGGGGCACTTGATGCAAGGTTTTCATTGCATTTACTAAAATAGTTGGTTCATAGACCTACTGGACAGGCCCTGAGTTTACAAAGCAATCTCAGACTTAAGTTAAGAATTTACTCCAAATTGTTCGCCTTATTTTAACTCAAATGTAGCACTTTATAAAATGTTCGTTGTTTTAATGTACCAAATACATCAATAAAAAACTATGTGCAAAGTTTTGTGCTTCTGTATCAAAGATATTTCTCATAATTGAAAGTTGAGTAAATTCTTAATTTATGTCTGAGAATGCTTTGTGAACTCAGGGCCAGATTGATTTTGAGGGAGTAGAGATTCAAGTGTCTATATTTTTGCCCATTACCATGGAAACCTCCAACTACTGCAGAGTTAACAGAATTGTGCCTAGTTGTTATAATGTCACCAAAAAAAAAAAAAATATTATTTTAGTTAAATCTTCCCAAAACGCGAATATTTTGATGAATTAAATGAATTATTAGGCATATCTAGTAATAAAGAAATGAAAAATGACAATTTTAACGCTACATGACCTAAATATATATATAGTGTGATTAGTATCTTGACCTGACTGGCAAAACTCCATTGAAGTCGTCCATCATCTGAGAAAGAAATTTTTTCTCAAAGGTTTTGATAGGGAAACAGAAATAATAAGTATTTACGATGTTGTTCTAACCTAAATGAGAAATCAACATACTTCTGCAGTTTGATAACCAGGGTAGACAATAGGTGACCTTTGACCTTCGACTTGTCGCAAATCAATCACCGGGATTCTTTACTGAAGAAACATTCCAGGCTGCGGTGAGGAGTCTGGTATTCTTGTAAAAACAGGAATCATTGATGTAGAAATATAAAGTCTCTCCTTTTTTTTTTAGTTTTCTGGGTTAAATCCTTAGGGACTCATCTGTTATTGACAGAATCAGACATCAGCCATTTGTATTTCCTGTTACAACTGTCACCATGGTGATTTCTTACATTTATCAATTGTGGTTAATGACAATTATATCACTCTGTCAGATTTATCATTCTTGATATTAAAAAAACACAAAGATGTTTGAAGTCAAAAGTTGCTTTGATTATCTTTTATTTAGTGCTATCTAGTGGATTAAATGAAATGAAATGGAGTTTATCGTACTACCTTTTTGCACCAACCAGGCTAATGAAGTGTGCTATAACAGACATTTTGTCGATACAGATGTGTTTCTGCTTTCTTTTCATCGTATTCCAACTGTTATGGGTTCTTTTAAATGCACTCCAAAATGTACATGAAGTTAGAGCTTTGAAGAACAAATGAAATTAAATGAAATGTTCTGTAACATCCTACTTTGCTATATGAGGGAAATTTTTTGCTTGAATATATTATTTTGATTTCCAACTAATATCTTGGGATTTTTTAGGGGGTTGGATGGCCGAATGGTTAGCATGTGCGCGCTGTATCATAAGGTCTGTCATTAAGTCAGCTGCCGGTTATACGTGACAAGGAGTAGGTTCGTCTGTCCAACCTCATGGGTTTTCTCTGGGTCCTCCGTTTTCCTCCCACTGCTAAAAAAACCTACGCGTAAGTGAATTATTGAAATAAAATTGAACCTAGTTTGAGTCAAGTGGACATTAAACCACATTTCTAAAAAAATTTAACGGCCCATCCAGTTGACTAGATACTGTTCCTTGGCCACCCCCCTCCAAATCCAGTGCCATATTCACTAAACTATGGACAGAATTTCCCTCCAAGCACACTGCACTGCCTATACTTGTCTTCATTAAGCTTCTTGTTCCAGAAAAGTTGGATACGAAAACCCTGTATCATTTTCCCAGTACAATCCGCTTAAGCTGTTAATGGGACCCTTCACAACCAGGGGCCCTGAAGCTTATGCTTCATCATAGTAGATCCACGACTGTATGATTTACCCTACCGTGGGACAACCTGTATAAATCTGTTAATCATTGTACAGAAATATTATAAATGAAGATTAATCAGACGACACACTGTGTCTGTCTGCTCACAGTTTGTATATGGAAGAGATATTTATCAACATTCGACCATAGTTTGTTTTATCTGATTTATAAATGGCCATTTACTTCATGTGAATCGCTTTGATTTATAGAGTTCAAGTCGGGTCTAACAGCAACAAATCGCTACTGTCAATACATACAGAATGGTTTGATTATCTTGGGGAATATATTGGATATAGATATATCATATATTTCATAGAGATTTATTACATACGATATAAAAAACTAGATGGGAAAGATGTTAATAGGAAATGTCTTTAACCCACAGACTGGCGTTCAATATCTTTTTATCTTTTTAAACAAAAATAGATGAGAAATTATGATTCAGTGATTTTGTCTTTTGAGTTTTAATTTCGAAAAAGTTGAGTGTAAAAATGGTTTCTGTTCTTGATGGATTGTAATATTGAGATCAATGATCATTGTCTATGGAAGTGATTTTACGTAACCAATAATGCATGTTATTACATCCGAGGGGGAGGGGGGGAGTGAGGGATGGCCATGTTGTATCATAAGGTCTGTCATTGAGTCAACTGGCTTGGTTTCGATTCCCTGGTTGTATGTGACAAGAAGTAGGATCGCCTGTCCAACCTCGTGTGTTTTCTCCGGGTTCTCGGGTTTCCTCCCACTGCTAAAGACCCCTACGCGCAAGTGAATCATTGAAATAAAATTGAATCGTATGTTAGTCCCAAATTGAACTAGTTTGTGTCAAGTGGACGTTAAACTCCATTTCTCTCTCTCTCTCTCTCTCTCTCTCTCTCTCTCTGTACTGCTGAGCTATTGCACAACACTGCAGCGGAAGCAGAAGAGTGAGGGCTTTAGGTATATTTTAAATTGGACGTAACACCATGTGCACGCAAGATGTATGATATATTAGATATTACTATGGTAAAACTACTGAACATTTATTGATATAACATATGATATTAATAAAAAATATCCCCGCGCTTCTTTGATTTATATCTACGGTATATACATATATAATA